ATTTGAGCAAATATTTTCAGAATCCCCCCTTTTTTTTTTCTCGAGCACCTTCATCATCACTTTCGCCTCTCATAAAGAACTTCCGGCTTCACGCTTTTGTCACAATCTGCCTAAATTTATGGATAACACCTGTTTCGAAAGATTGGGTGAATAGCCAATCAGACACCGATACTTTCGTTCGGGTAGCTAATTGTTTTTTTTTATTGTTTGCAAAGCAAATCCACCAACAGATTGGTTCAGAGCCGTGCAATTTTAATTCCATATTCACGAGAAATCGCAATTCACACATAGAATGCCAATCATTAGAAATGACAAGAAATGTCAAATGAGCAAAATTAAGGACCGTTTATTCATTTTGGCCAAAATTAAGGACTTTTAAGGACCAAAAATCATTTTTTAAAAAATTAAGGACTTTTAAGGACCGTACGAACCCTGTTATATGGCTAAAAAGAACAAATGTGTCAACCTTTGTCAACTATGCACAATGATGACGATATTGATGAAAGCACGGGAGATTTGAAAAAAAATTAAATAATTACGTTTTATAACATGACAAAAGTTTATTGAGATTATGGCAAAGTACACTAGAGCTATCTGCCTAAAGGGAGGGATGCCTTCGTGGAGGACTTTCTAAGGGAAACTGCCTTGTATACACGTTACACATGGGGAAAACCATGAAAACGCCCATGCAGCCAGCCTGTTTGCAGGATTTGAACCTCGGACCGAACTAAAAGTGTTCAGCGATTTTACCGCTCAGCTGCTGGTGGACTCCATGAAAAAGGAGCAGTTGATATAGTCGACGAAATGGGTGGCACTTACTCTCTGGCCAGAGTATCAAACCGATGGCCTATGGGCATATTTTTTTGTTATTAAATATTGCCAGCATAAATTCAAAGATCTTGCTTTTATCTACTAAAACTCCATCAGAGAAGTTCAGGAATAGGAGGCACTTCTGATTTGGCCTTTGCACTTTTAGATCCTCATTTAAAATCACGACAGAAACAGAAAGAATACAACGAAGATTCTCTTGAAGATTCACAAACAAAGAAAAGAAAATTATGTTACATGTGCTCAAGAGAAAAAGACAGAAAATCAAAAACTAAATGTGTGAAGTGTAAAAAAAAAATACTATGTCAAAAACACTGTGAAATAGAAGCGTCATTCAAACTACAAAATATCTATAATTCTTCTTCAGCCTAATTGATTTGAAAATTAATTATATAACTCATTGTCCATGTAATAATTCTGCATAATTTGGATTATAATTGCATTCAAAAATAAAAAGCACAAATTTCTTATAGAAATCAATGATTCCTAGTCATATGAAGAAAACGTACGTACTTTTGATTTATGTGTCATTAATTTTAAAAGTAACCTTATTTGGTTGAACTTTGGATTATGGTAACTTGGCGATTTTTTGGCGAAAATTTGGTGACCAACTCTGCTACAGCAACCCTCTATTTTCCGCCGCCATTTTGTCTTCACGAAGTAAAGACATGCTTCTTTTCTTTTTATTTACTCAACACTTTTTCCAACAATCTACTAGCCGAATTACACTTATGCTAGAAATTTTATCTAACAAACTGCTTAATCATGACAAATATTCACTGCAAAATTGGGAAAAAGTGCACAATAGCAAACTCCTTGCGCGTTTTTCAGAATAACACATACACATAAACCATGTACACGTCGACTTATTTTTACTTAAACAAACATCCCAGAATTGCACAAAAATGGCATTGCGCACACTCTTCACTATATCCATGTACACTGCTTTTTTCTCATAAATTAGAAAAATTTCACAGAAAATGCATGACAATTTTCTGAATCCTTAAACCCGGTAAAAAGAACATATATGAAATTACCTTATCGCGAAAAAGTATATAACCTTTCCAAATATGAACATTTCCACGTATAAAATAAATAAAACATCTATAAACTTTTACCTCTAAATTGTCTATTATATTATAAACGTCACCAACGAATTCATACCGCAAATATTACAAATACTTAGTGTCAAATATTTAAATTATTTCCATGCACGTTTACTTCCACTCTAACGTATACCAAATTCCTACAAACATAAAATTCACAAAATAACTATCATTTAATTAAAATATCACTAAACCATATACACATCGACTTATTTTTACTTAAAAAAAATATCCCAGAATTGCACAAAAATGGCATTGTGCATACTCTTCACTATATCCATGTACACTGCTTTTTTCTCATAAATTAGAAAAATTTCACGAAAATGCATGAAAATACTCAACATATAGTACTCAAACATATTCCAAAATACTACAAACATATAACTCACAAAATCATGATCATTAAATTAAAATATAATTAAATTAAAAAACACTACTTAAAATATAAATAAGCACATACATTAAATTAATAAAAATCAGATTACAATCCTAATTACTTTAAACTAAATCATTGCTAATAACAATTTTCAAATAATACCATTTTAATTTATTTACTCCTTACATTTAGAACAATGCATAAAAATAATATCCTCAAATGATTAAAAATACTAACTTACCTAATCTTCTTCATTACATCGCTGCAGTACTACTGCTAATTTCTAAATCCTAAATCCAGTAGTCAACTGGATGTCTATTCACCAAGTAAATAAGAAATTAATAAAATTTCACCTATACTCAAACTACTTTCAGCAAACCACGTACCCTTCCTTACACTCCTTTTCACAAAATGTCCATTTTCACCATATTTCTTGCACCACCATTTAAACTTGTAATATCCTTCCTTTCACACAATCTCAACTTATTGTTATTATCAGATAAACGCATTAAAAATTTAGAATTCACTTTACATAGTGCCATGCAATCCGAAAATTAATCAACACTATTTCACACAACACACAATGAAGCTTTTCCAAATTAACCCCCTTTTCCGATTACAGAACTGTAATTCGTCCATTAATGTCACGTTTCACACAACACAGAATATAGCTAAATACGAAATTTCCAGATTTCCCCCCTTTTCTGATTAAACAACTGTAATTCGTCCATTAATGTCACATGACATATCTCATGATCTCTCATTTCCCTCACACAAAATAATGCGTAATCGGAACTGAGTGCTTCTCACATTATTACCAAAGTCCTAGGTAGTAACCTTTATCGCCTCCAAAATGTCGCCATACTACCAGTTACCATATTCTAAAGATCAGCCCCTTATTTTTAAGCAATTTTATATAATAAATGTTATAATTAATATAGAATGCATTATTTTACATTATTACATTTGTACGTCGTTTAATTGCGACGGGCGTTCTCGTGTTACATAATAATACGGCGCACGTCCTCTCGGGTTAACTATACACCGCTAAATGTCATGGTTAACCTATTTATTTTACTTCTATATGCTATATATCTTATAACTTGACTGTACACCGCTCAAATCTTCGCTTCCATTTGTGAAATATCTTGCAACGTAACTAACTATACCCCGCTAAAATCATAGCCGATTAGCCGTTGGTGAGCTTGGCGAATAAATACGCACTGGCGCCAACGGATCCTTTGCGGAAGAAAACCCAAAATTTTAAACCATATTAAAATGTTTATGCCTTCAAAATAAAAAATTCTTAAAACTAATATTTGTTAACATTTCTTATGCGTATATTGTATGTTGTCGCCAACAAAGTCTGCTTGGCGAGATTTGCGCCGGCGAAACGGAAAAGTACCTAAAAATCTAATGGAAGCACTTCCGCAGAGAACCCGGTAAATGTAAACATCGCCATCTTTGGTGATAATAGTTCAAACCTGGTAACCCATTGAATTTATTCTATTCACTTGTTCGAAGTCTGCAACCATTCCTCTTGCGTTTATTTTGTTGAATTATCAGTGTCGTTGTTCGCATTGGCAGGTTTTTATTATTTTCTCTTATTTATTATTATTTTTTCTGAATTTTTTAACAACGAATAGATAGAAATATTTTCGTAGATAGATGCCGGTTCTCGGTTCGGGATGAATGCTAATTTGTAACGTGGCTGTTCACGTCGTGTTCTTAATTATTAACAGCTCTAAGAACCATGAGGTTTCCAACGTCTAACATAATTTGTTTTCGTAAACCGCAGAAATGTGCATGCACATTTTAAATAATTAAGTAATGCTTTTATTTTTATTATTGGTTATTGTCATATAAAATTATGAGAATAAATCAATTTTTATGGGGTAAAATTCTAACAATACATTGTTAATGCTTTTCTAACAATAACCTTTCAGAGGATGGCAGGTGTGACATAAACAGATGATTAAATTGAAATAAAAAAAATATTATTGATTATCTAAGATGACAATAGATTGATGCATCACCATGGTCATCAAAATTAGCAAACCACTGCTGGTGTAAGGAATATATTGTTTTCTGTGTTAACTGGAATTTAAGAAAAAATTTTTCGTGTATCACAATTAACCGGTAAATTTCAGTACTCTAATACTAATTTATATTTTTTAAATGAATTTTTATTTCCGTTATAAATGCTTATATATTGTCTTATGCTTAATAATATATTCTTTTCTGTGCTAATTTGATTTTAATACAAATTTATTTTCGTATATCACGTTTAACCGGTTAGTTTTACATCTACATGCTTATTATCTGTGAATTTTTACTACCATATGCTTAATATATTGTTTTATCTGCTAACTTGAATTTACATGCACTAAAAATCATGTTTCCGGCTCGGCTTATCGTGGAGCTTGGCGAGTATAAATTCAACGGCGCCAACGGGTACTTTGCGGATGAAAACCCAATCTAATTAATAAGGGCTTACAGGAATTGATTGTCAAATGTTAAGTTTGAAATCATTAATTGAAATCAGGAATACTCAACCCACAAATAATAAAATAAAAAATATTGTGGTGTAAAAATACTGTACTATAACTGTATGCTTACTGTAACTGTATGATTAATATATTTACTGGTAACATTTAAAAAATGATCTGTTTAAAAATTCACAGTCTCACCTTCATTTTCTTGCAAAATGTGCACTGTTTCTCCAACAGTAAGATGCAACCGATGCGGTCCATCTTGTTTAAAATTACAGACAGCTGTAAAAAAAAGCAATTACACAATTTAGAAAATTTTCAGTTTGAAAAATTAAGAAACTATTTATGCGAAAAGAAAATCCAGATCACTTTTCTTACCAACACCGTATTTTGCTCGGTCTTTAACGTAAGACCATTTAGTCATGTCGATTTAAAAACAGGAGTTCAAAATGGCATATTAATAGCTAAAGAAAATACTTTTCACCCAAGAAAACC